CGCGGAGAAATCTGCGGAGCTGGGAGCTGAGAACTGGCGACTTTGTAGTACAACTTTAGTACGCGGAGTAGCCGGGGAGCTGGAAGCTGAGAACTGGCGACTTTCTAGTACAACTTTAGTACGCGGAGCAATCTGTGGAGCTGGAAGCTGAGAACTGGCGACTTTGTAGTACAACTTTAGTACGCGGAGTAGCTGTGGAGCTGGAAGCTGAGAACTGGTGAGTTTCTAGTACAACTGTAGTACGCGGAGCAATCTGTGGAGCTGGAAGCTGAGAACTGAGAACTGGCGACTTTGTAGTACAACTTTAGTACACGGAGTAGCTGGGGAGCTGGAAGATGAGAACTGGCGACTTGGTAGTACAACTTTAGTACGCGGAGTAGCTGGGGAGTGGGAAGATGAGAACTGGCGACTTGGTAGTACAACTTGAGTACGCGGAGTATCTTGGGAGCTGGAAGATGAGCACTGGCGACTTTGTAGTACAACTGTAGTACGCGGAGTAGCAGGCTGGGGAGCTGGAAGATGAGAACTGGCGACTTGGTAGTACAACTTTAGTACGCGGAGTATCTGGGGAGTGGGAAGATGAGAACTGGTGACTTGGTAGTACAACATTAGTACGCGGAGTATCCGGGGAGCTGGAAGATGAGAACTGGCGACTTGGTAGTACAACTTGAGTACGCGGAGTATCTGGGGAGCTGGAAGATGAGAACTGGCGACTTGGTAGTAGAACTTTAGTACACGGAGCAATCTGTGGAGCTGGAAGATGAGAACTGGCGACTTTGTAGTACAACTTTACTACGCGGAGGTGACTTTCGAGAGGTGAAGAACTTGCAGAAAACAGGTGTTCCTGCGCTTCAGAAAGACATACAGAGAGGGACACATACACACACAGACATAGATACACACACACAGAGACCCACACACTGCCTCAACACACTCGACTATTAACACTTCACACTGAACACTTATATAACACACTTAACAGATAACTCGCACTCTGACTTCCTACGTGATGAAAAATGCTTTCGGGCCACTCGTCGTCTAGTATATAACTATGACAAAAGGCACTCCAACAGGCAACATCAACTGACAAGACTCTATGTCTTCAACGAAGCTCTTCAATGAACTGTCAACAAGTGGCATTGCAGTTGCCACAAAGGACCACTGTCTGCGCGTGGCTGAAGACCTCACGCTGTACAGAACATATTTCAAAAATGCAAACCGAAAAATCAGGAAGTTTGGGGCCGAACCGTGGTGATCTGTAGGCACCCAGGGCATTTCACATCCATGAAGAAACTATTCCTTGACAAACGCAATGGAGGTCCGGACCACAGATTATGCGAATTCCTGTTCATCCTATGTGGTCCTTAGCAAGGACGCTACTAGGAACAAAGGGCATCGCTACTAGGAGCAAGGACGCTACTAGGGGCTCCTGGCAGGCATCGCTTCTAGGAGCAAGAAGCTACTAGGACCTTTTTGCAGCTTCGCCCATTTGGGGTGAAGCCATTGCTTCAAGCTGCGGCGATTGGATCATGCGTTTCAGCTTGTGCTTGCTCTTCTCCTCACGAAAAGTTGCATGTCAAGAATGCAGTGGGCCCCGAACATCTTGTAATGCATCCTCCAACCAAATGGACTGTGCAAATCCAAAGACTCACATCTTAGATCGCAATCCTCCTTTGCATCCGGGTTGAGCAAGTCAATGTCCATTGTGAATGCCAATGATCCTTAGACTGGTGACGCTAGGTGGAGCCACAAGTGCCAACAATGCCATGCACATCGTGAGTTGCTACTTGACATGGAACATCATGGAACTGACCCGTTTGGAGGGCAACTGAACTCACTGAGTGAACAAGAACCTCAGTCCAAGACAGTCCAAGACCCGTGTTGGTGCTACCGCTCTACCGCTTTGAGCCATTGCGTTCAAGGAGGTCCAATGCCGCTTTGCTCGCTTCGTTCAATTCATTTCAATTCAATAGCCCCGGACGAGGCCAGCCTGAGGCTCTCTGAGGACCAGCTCCCAGTTCCCAAGCAAACGCAACTGCCTGTCGCACACGCATCCAGATGCACAATGGTTAATGCTTAATGTTTATTGCATATTATTGCATATGCTGCATATGTGCGAGTTTAAGTCCCAATCGTTCAAACTCGCCGGGTCAAGCCTCTGCGCTTCAGCCGCGCTAGCAGCATAGGCCACAGGAGTGGCTAAGGGCAAACAGTCCACCAACTCGTCCAAGACGGAGGCCTCGCGGTGGACCCCGCGCCACGGAAAAACCCTACACAACAAGGGAACGCTTGACATCCGGCCAATGCAGAAAATGAAGGAGCGATCGGACGCTACTAGGGGCTCCTGGACTTTCTACTAGGAGCAAGGACGTTACTAGGGGCAACCAAAAGAATCAAATATGCACATCACGTACTTCATAATATCACTTTTGCACGGTCACGACGCTCTTCAAGCACCGTGCTTCCTCACATGTGCACTGATTATTTTGTACAGGAGCACCGTCTACAAATAAAGATTCTAAACATGGAGCTACATGGAGTCCTCAGTCGACTCGACTCATGACTCATATTGCAGCAAATCGCACCGGCACGGCAGCTGGGACGGCAAATGTCCGCGACAATCCAACAATGTGACGCCACCACTCATGATACGTATTTGGCTTTGTCTGAGCACCAAGTTTGACATGTTGGTTGCAAAGGTCAAACGTCGGTGATTCGAACCAAGCTCATCCTCCGCCTGAACTGCATTTGGCGGTCTAGCAGCAAGGTGTTCTTCCATCACTGAGTTGGCTGGTCAACGTGACCCGCTTTGGCTTTGGCCATTTCTTAGAAGCTGGTCACTAAAAGAACTGCTGACCACATAGGCAATCGTCGTCTTCAACTAGTCTGCAGCAAGCAATCACTGTCGGATTGGCTGAAGTAGGATGCATTCTTGCCAAGGCCTTAGGAACGGCAGCATCACAACCTATGGCCACACTCCCACGACAAATTAAATGCCGCCAAAGATTATTATACAGTAATACTGACTGCTATTTTAGATTCTAGTTTAGCTTTCCAGCAATTGGGGCATTCCCGTCGCAGGGGTACAGCCATGAATTATATACTTCGTTTAGGAACTCAGCATTCAGAACTTCAGTTTATAGCTGGATTCCGCAACAACCCTGTGTCACAAGTTGCTTTCTAGCATTCCACATCTTTACTCCAGCACAAACACCAGCAGGACCAGCCTTCTTTAACAAGCCCAATGTGCAAAGCCTGCTGGCGGTCTTCCGTGTGACCGGAGGACATTAGAAACATGGAGCGACCATGAGCACAAATAAGAACCACTTCAGAATGCCAGGGATCCCAAGTCCACCAACCCAAGAAAACCAGGGTGCCCGCCCTGAAAATACCTTGGCAAGTTCTCCAAAAGAACTGACTGAATTACTACCGAAGCACATACGTGGCGCATGCATGCGCATGTTTTCTTGGCTGCTCCTGGCTGCCAAGGGCGAAGTCCAGTTCCAACAAGGCGATTGCTGCACAAGCCACCCTGTACCAGCCATCGTTGTGGGATCAAGCATTCCTAAAATCAACGGTATGTTCAAATGTGCGCAGTTTTACTATATATTATATAATAGAGTCCCGACAGATTGTAGAAGTAGCCAGGTTTTATAAATAGTCCTGCCAGGCTTTATAAATAGTCCTGCCAGGACCAGGATATAAGTCCTAACAGATTTTAGAAGTAGCCAGGCATAGCCAGGATTTATAAATAGTCCTGCCAGGATTTATAAATAGTCCTGAAAGATTTTAGAAATAGCTCTGGCTTCCTCACAGAAGCCTGAAATAAAGAAGCTAGCGCAAGTGATAATATATATATATATAATAAGTTGATAGTGTTGTCCTGCAGTTGGAGAAAGTGGACCTCACAACTATATATGCGAGTGGGAATGCGCTAGGACAAAATACGACAAGCACTTTTGCCTGTCTTGATCCACAGTATGATAAGATATGCTGCAATCGAGTTTTCAGTGTTGGGTCGGTTGGGCTTCACTCTGCTTCAAGCAAACACTATGTCAAGCCAACGCGCCAAAGATCACCTAACAGCTTCACAGAGCTCAAATACTCAACGTTCCCCGAAGACCTCCACTTTCGGACATTGACCATGCTCTCGTAGCACACCGTCCGGGTCCAAGGCCGCGCGGTTTCGACTGGCGGGAGCATGAGGCGGTGTAGGGGAGAGCGAAGCAAATACGAAGCGAGCCTCCAACCCAATAGCAATAGCCTCCAACATCCTCCAACCCAATAGCAATAGCCTCCAACCTAATGGCAATAGCCTCCAACCCAATAGCGATGGCCTCCAGCCTAATAGCGATGGCCTCCAACCTACTAGCGATGGCCTCCAACCTAACAACGAAATCCTTTGCTGCTCTGTTCCTTTTGGTGACACGGTGACAAATAGAAAAATTGATCGCCCCCTAAGCAAATTGATTGGGCGACACAAAACCTGCAAGAAAAATCAAGAGAAGGTAGGCGCAGTGAGCTTAGGCACCCGCTGCTCAAGCAAAAGATAGTAGAAGCCAACGGACATTTCAGACACCTGCTTTGGCTCCGAACAGAAGAGAAAAGATCGATTGATCTAAATCAAGACCACTAAAATTACATAAAATTGCCAATTAGAGATTGCACTGTTCAACAGTTGGCCACAAAAGTGTGCCTCGAGTGCTCGGCCGGAAGATGCCTCCAGTACAAAAACATTGCCATGTGAAAAGACATGAAAAAAACGTGCTATTAACTCACTAAGAACGAAGGAAACTGGGCCATGGGTTGAATCATGTTGAATCTTCGGCCAGTCCAACACTAAAGCTTGGAGAAAATGATCCCGCCGATCTTGAACTTTGACCGGTCTTCGGCCTTCGTGCCTTCCTGGATTTCCTCCTGCAAGGGCCAATGCAAGGGGTCCAGTGCAGTGCATGTGAACAAGCCGGATCCTGAAACCCAAAATCCCGCTGAAGAATTCGCTGCTAGCTGCTTGGACTGTGCATGTCACGGGCATCACCTTTCGTGCTATCTGAGTCCGTTCGCGTCTTTTTCTCCACTGCGACTGTGCCACTGAGCAGCCACTTCTCGGAGTAAGTTGTCATGAAAAGTGGCAACAAAGGGTGTGCAGCTCATTCTAAGTGAAACGGCGCGGGCGCAGTTCATTGGTCGCCCTATTTCCTTGGCAGGAAATAGAAAACAAAGCCATCCGAACAAGTCTCGTGCCGAGCCGCATGGCGTCCAACTGCCGGGGCGTCCGCCTTCTCACGACAAGGTCTTCGTTTGGTCGCGGGCCGCGAACGAAAAAGGTGAGACGAAACAGCTATAGTAGCTGTCAAGTAGGACGCTCTTAGTATATAACTGGACGCAGGATAGCTCCGCACTACTCATTTATATGCATGTGGTTCCATGTGGTTCCTAGGTTTTTAGGACAAAAATATAAACAAAAGAAGGGCTGCAGATGTTTCAAAAAAAGTCACGAGTTAGTGGTAGCAGTCAACGATCCAGCCCCGGCCTCGTTCGAGCAGTCAGCGGGGGCCGTTGTTCCTGCTCTGAAGCATGCAAATGCGGAAGTTCATGATGTCAACAAGTTTCCGGCTCTGCCAGCTACTCCCACCATCTCCCACCACCAAGATATATATCCTCTGAAGCGGGCTTGAGTGCATTGGAGTGTAGAGTGTGCGTGACAAATGGTGGAATGGGATGCTGGGGGCTCATCCCGGCAACGAGGCTCGAGGCACAAGCCTGGTTCGCTGTGAAATGCTGCGGGCTGTGGGCTTCCAAAAGGATTTGCTTCCAGCTGTTCGTCAAGGTTCTGGTCCAAGCGAAACTTCAACCATGTCTTCAATCAATCAACCCCGTCCTATCCAAGGTCCACTACAAGTCCCTTACCTCCGGCGCGGAGGCGCGTCCCTTCCAGCCTTTAGTCCAAATCTCTTCGAGTGTTTCAGCTCTAGATGTCTCCTCTGAGAGATCTCTTGGATAGGGAGCCCGTGGTGCTCGTGCTGACATTGGCTGGCAAAGTGAAACACCTCATCAAGGCGGCGACAGAAACGGAGCAATTTTGGGATTGCCAATCCGAACGACTTGAAGGATGAAGACTTTAGAGTCTGAACCGTGTGAAGTGACTGAGCTTTGAAAGAGATTCAATCGCGGCACCTGAGTCCACAAGCCAATGCAAACGCCCTTGGCTTTTTCACCACAGCATAAGGGGCAATTAACAGCAAGAGCTGCAAAGAGACCTAGGACCCTGTAAAGATCGCGATAACGTCAGCGTCTTCCAGGTCCGGAAAACTCGCAATAATCGACATACCGTGGGCGCAAATGCCCCTTTTGGGGCCTTGCTGACCCAGGCAATTTCACTCGCAGAAGCTAGAGCATCAGCCAAAACAAAGGCGATATTGAAAACACAAAGCGATGGCCTCGTAACCTAAGGGCGATGGCTTCCATCCTAATAGCATCTATATAATAGCGATGGCCTCCAACCTAAAGGCGATATTCTAAGCACAATCACTTTTTCACCATGTCTTTGTTGCATTGCGGTAGTTCCATTAAGCTTTTGCCGAGCAGGATCGGGCAACGGAGAAACATTGATTAAAAATTATGCCTTCGGCAAACCTCGACATGGACATTGCCATGACAAATGCCGATGCAGTGAGCGCTGGTCCACATTACTTCACCCTCAAGCGCTCAGATGCTCAGACTCGAGACATGATACCGATGAGAGCTGAGAACATGCCTCCGAAGTGGTCTGAAAATCCGAGAGGAAGACTGTCTAGGCTTAGCACTTGTTACTACCAGCTTCTTGTTACTACTAGTAAGGCACTTGTTACTAGTAGCGATGCACGTGTTACTAGAGGCTTCTTGGATTTGGCATGATTCCACTCAAAGAGACCACGTGAGATCAATGAATTCCACTTGCACTCCGAACTTGAACACACAACACGCCTCAAGAAATATGAAGTAATGTGAAAACCATGAATGAAGAACCAACTTAGAACGGAGAGACATGGCTATCAGCTATTGCACCTCCTGTGATCATGAAGTTCTTCAAGAGCATCTCCCGGGTAAGTTTCACCTCTCGGATGAAGAAGCCCGCTGAGCTGCTTTCTATGAATTGAACCAGGTAAGCTCTCTCATGATTGATCGGAGAGTCCTGAGATATCAAAAAGTCAAGATGATTGTTAAGACCTTTGATTTAAGACCTGTCATCCCTGTTTAATAAGGTGCATTATGGTGCATGGCTCATGGATGTTCAGGGTGCTCATGACCTCTCATGACACAGATTGACACAGCCCCAGGCGCACTGGGGCTCCAAAGGCTGAGAGACCCAAAAGGCCAAACCAAAAAGCGCTGAGCCTCCAACCTACTAGCGATGGCCTTCAACCTAATAGCATCCTTGCTCCTAGTAGCGATGCCCTTTGTTCCTAGTAGCTTCTTGCTCCTAGTAATAAGGCCAGGAGCCCCTAGTAGCGTCCTTGCTCCTAAGAGCGATGGCCTCCAACCTAAGAAAAAGGACTGATCAGAAAGTTTTGGTGCCGGGCTCAGCGGCCCAGCCTCTCAGACCAAGGCTCTGAGGGTATCTGGTTGACGAATGCCGGTACAATTCGGCACTTCTCCGTGATAGCTGTTCCCCGGTATAAGACTCTCATCTCCAAGAAGAAAAGCATCAGGACAGGCAGGAGAAAAGCTCCTGTGAAGAATGGTCGGTTGGTCAAGTTTACGTTTGGATCTTGTGGTCCAATCACATCGCAGTCCACAAGCCTCGTGAAAGCCAGGGAAACAGCACACAGCCACAAGATGCCACAAGCCTTACAGGGGGCTCTCTCGACTCAAGTCCTTCAGCCAGGATGACTTTCCAGGCAAAGTTGGAAACGAAAGCGACCTGGCAAAAGAGCGCCACAGTACAGTGCCCTGCCTTCCGGCATCTCGTGGTGCGAACAGCAAAACTCTGCCAGCGCACCACGACGGTGGAGGCCAAGCAATAGATGCATGCGATTCCGCCCAGCATCTGCATGACCAAGAAGCTGTTCGCCATTTTTCGGCTGATACACTTCAGCAGAGCCTGCAGGCAGTTCCTTGGCAAGTGTTCACTGATACTGCTGGCATGGTCAAATCATAAGACTTCACCTGAAATCTACAGTAGACTCAAAAGCACTAGGTTGGAGGCCATCGCTAATAGAAACAAAGAAAGAAGAAAAGCAAGAAGACGAGTGTCCAACTCTCGACCCCCACTTGGAAATCTGGCGTGTCCAGCAACAACCGGCACCTTGCTCCCAAAGGCAAAGGGACCAGAGTCCAGTTCAAAATAGCAACGGTGATGCAAATTGTTCACATTCTCTCACAGGACGACCGTAGACTTCAGATATTTACAATGGATATTTTGTGAAAAAGTGTTCGACTGCGTGTTTGGCTCTTGCTGAGACAAGCGCCAGCAGTCTAAACTCGCATCCAAGCCCATGAGCAAATGACTTTGTATGTAGGCTTCTAGCACCACCAGGAAACTCGAGACCAACCAGGAGGCCCATGCGATACCATGAAGAGTGTACCTTCGAGGGCCACAGGTTCAACATGCTTTCAACAAGGCAATGCTTGGATGAAGACTTTTTCATTCACTTGGTCTCCTCCAATATCGAGCTTCATGATTGGTACTCTGCTCATTCAGCATCCACTCTCTCACCACCTGACACTTGTGACAGGTGTGAGTCCCGAAGTCCGGCACCCCGAACACCGCAACTCTCACAGCATCTCGCAACACCTGTCCCGCGATGAAGATAAGAACCCAAAGAAACCAAAACGCCAAGCTCCTGTTTGGACAAATGTCTTCAAAGCCATCATGCTAAGCGATCAGTTGAAATGCCGCAGCTGTATCAACATGTAATAACCATCTGACACACATTGTGGTGCCCGCATGGAAGCTACTGCCGCAGCTCTCCTCCGTTGTTCCAGTTGAGAACAGTTCTTCCATTCTTCTCTAAAGTCCTCTATAAACCTTACTCCGATCAACATGCCACAGACCGATATCACTCGAAAATGCTAAAATGCTTTTCTGATCTTTTCTGCGGGGCCTTCCCAATCTGGAACATTCTGGAACCACGCTTGGCGGTTGAGAGCATTTTGCACTTCTTGCTGCGAAATTGATTGATTGAACAAATGCGGTGCAACATGCGGCAGCTGCGCAGCATTGTATCTACTTAGGGCCAGGACGTGTGCAGCTTGTTCACCGTCAAATCAAGATCAGCAGATCTCAAAGCATCCCTGCAGCTTACGAGCTTGGATTGACACCCAGCACCCAAGTACGGCCCCATACAAAGCACAAGTTGCCATTTACGCTTACAACAGCGAGTCTCCAATGTCTCAGTCATGTCGCACAGCTCCTTCTGGCGATGGCTAAAGGATGCACGTGCGGGGTGCAGTATCCTGCGACAATCTCTTTAACGCCTACGGCCCTGCAAAGCCTGAGGAAATAGCAGGATAGCACTGCGGCAAGGCTAAATATTGCATTGCCAATCACCTCGGTGCCAGGACAATACATGTTCTCTGCACTTCGGTCAAGCTGTGTGCGCCAACGGCCTTTTGAACCAAAGGACAACCTCTACGTGACAAAATGATGATGGTGACCGTGGCTTCTCACTCCAATCAGTGAACCGAGGGGCTGTTAAGCTGTCTACATCTACGCGGTCCAAAGAGATTTCCAACGCGATGTCAATTCCAAAGGCTGCAATGCTGCAGATTGTGATCAAACCTGCAAGAACGACTTGGCCAGACTGAAATGTCCATCAATTCGTGTCAGTCTGCACCAATGGCTGCAAAGTAGACGGGCTAACTGTGTCACTGCGCATGGCCATTCAGCGAGGCAGTGTTGAATCACGATCAATATCCATCAATTGTTCCCAGTG